GTACATATGTATACATATGTATGTACACTTATATACATATACGGATGTATAAATATCCATACATAAATGGATACTATGTATTATACCTGCAATGACTAAATTTTCAGGCTCTATAGGTTTACATTTTCTTGAGCTTAGTGTTGCATTCATGCATTTTTGTTTGCCTGAATGAGTTATCCTCAGCCCTTGCTTGAATCTGTTCATTAAGATTTCATGAAGTCAGCTCTTGATGAATTCACAAGCCAGAACTGCAACTTTCTCACTGCTTTTGCCGTGCTAAAAAACGCAGCACCAGCTTTTCATACTGGAGGATGGTAGAGATAAATTCTCCTATGGCAACTCGTCACCCCAGGATGACAGAGCTCCTACTGAATTTACACAAGTCCTTTATTACGTGAAGTGATTTGAGTGAAACAAATGGGTTATTTACTGTGTAGCAGACTAAGAAGTGACTCCTTTAAAATGGTAAACATCACAGTACATCATATTTGGAAAGATGTTTTTTTGCTGTGTGTTTGAGGTTTCGCAGTTGATGACAAAGTTGAAAATCCGAAGAACAAATTTCTTCGGAGGGGAGAGGTTCCAGGGGTTTGGGAGGGGAACCATCCTCAGGGAGTTTTGGAGAATGTGGCCAAACTGGTCTTGTTTTGGTTGAAAAGTTATTTTCAAGCATTTCCTCACTGAAGGTTTTAAAACTACAGAAATGCTATTTGGAGGATCATGGAGGTATTGCTTTGTCTTCAGTGTTTAGCTTTTTGAGCTGAGGGAAAGCACACGATTTGAGAGCAGGACACGGTGTATTGTCACTAAGGCTTCTGTGAAGTAATGGATTGGAGGTTTGGGAAATACCTTTACTTAAGTAAGATGAAGAATCCTGAAGCTGTGAAGACTTCCCACACTGACATGTGAGGACTGTCTTCAGTGTTCGGCATGAAATGCTGGGTGGCGAGTGCTATTCGGGAGAACTGAGGACGGAGGGCGAGGGCCCAAGGACCATGGGGCATCTCTTCTCCTCCATCCTTTTCTTTCCTGACACGGTCAAGTGCTATGGCTCCTGGTAGGAATTTGCGTGTGGTCGAAAAAGTCAATAACAAAGATGTCACTTTACCCAGTAAATACTAAGGATCAGACCCTACACATGTTTTAAAGTTATGAACATACAGCCCACAGCGAGGCAGGTTTTATTATCACAGTTCTGCTTTGAGGAAAGAAAACGCGAGAACCTGCCTGGTGAGTGGCAGATAAAGGCTCTGAACTTGGGCTTTTCTCACTCCAGACTCTGCACCATCGCGTGATCGCAGTGTTTAGGAGACGGATTCTGTAGCTCTAACAAAGGGACATACGAAAGAAGTTCATTTCTCTCTTAAGAAACAGACCGAGGTGAGTCGGAATGTTTTCCTCCACAAGCCAGGCCGGCCAGGGGGCTTTGCTGTGATCCAGCCAGCAGGAAGCAAGTCCATAGCAAGCATGACCCAGAAGATGACAGAGGATTAGCACGGGTCAGTTCCACTGGAATCCTACCAGCCGACAATTCCTAGCATACCCGAGAGTGAAGCACTGCAGTCCGTGGCTGGGTGGCCAGATGCCGACGTCAAACCCAGGCGCTTCTCCAACGAAAGAGAAAACGAATATTGGAAGACGACTGTCTCTATCAGCTAAGAAATCTCTGTGGTGGCTTTTCCCTCCACATTCATGGGAAATCAGGACAAAAATAATTGCAGCTTCAGAAGAAAGGTGGTGAAGAAAGCAGAGCTAAGAACAGCTCCTGAAACCCTGGATTTTAAGGTCCTCTTGTTATTATTTGTCACGATCTGGACATAATCTGCCCCCAATTCCCTTTTCAGCTAAATAACTTTCTCTTTCCTACTACGCTCCTGCTTTTCACAATACTCCAGAAATTGGTCCATTTCAGGTCCTTATTCTTCCAGGAGGTAGTAGCAAAGCTGCTCTTAGCTGATTTTGTTTGTTCTCTGTTTTGAGGTTTTTTCAACAGGGCTATATACCTGCAAACTAGGCTGCTTAGATGGCTCCAGACTTTCCAACTTGGCTTCACTTCTGAGATATTTCTTCATTTCTCACCCATTAGCTGACCCAAACTGTGAACTTTTGAACACTCTTTGGAGCTGGCATGTTCTTATGATAAACTCCTATTTTTGGCCTCCATTGTTTTTCATTTCTTCTCTTTTAAATTTCTGCCTTATTTTCATTTCTCATGGTCCACTATTTTCCTAATCTGAAAGAGTACAGAGGTTTATCTGTTCAGTCAGTCTATTTAAGAGGCACCTATCACATGGCTGGTGTCTGTCTAGGCACTGGGGATTTGTCATTGAATAGAACAAAGTCACCGCTTTCGTGGAGCTTACATCCCTTGACTTCAGTGAAGTGGGGGAGCAAGCCATGCTGATTTCAGGACAAAGTAAGGGAGAGAGGAGTAAAAGATGAGCTTTTCATCAAAGATGTTGGTAAGTCAAGGGAAAGACTTTGGGTTTTATTCTGAGTGAAAGAGAACACTATTTGACTATTTCGAGCAAGGGAGCAAGATGATCTGATTTCCATACTGTGATGATCACACCTGCTTAGAGGTCACACTCATTCCCTCACTTCCGCTATATTTCATTGGTCCCATAAACCAGCTTTGGTTCAATGGGAAGCTACTACAAAATGACATGAATACTAAGAAGCAGTGATTACTGGGGTCATCTAGGAGGCTGGCTAGCGCATGGATATCTAATTATTCCAACACATTTGTTGAAGAAAACTATGTTTTCCCATTGAATTATATTGCCACCCTTTTCAAAATTAATTAGCCAAATATGGGTAGGTTTTTTATTGGATGATCTATTCTGTAACATAGATCTATATGTCTAAAGTGTGCCAATACCACATTGTCTTATAGAAAATTATGAAATAAGGTAGTGTAAGAGCTATTCTTTGTTCTTATTTTTCGAATTCTGTGGGTTGGCTTAGGTCCTTTGCATTTCTATATACATTTTAGAATTGGCTTGTCAATTTCAACAACAAAAATGCCTATGGGATTTTTATGGAGATTTTATTGAACCTATAGATCAATTTGGAGGGAATTCCCATCTTAACATTATTAAGCCTTTAGATCCATAAACATGATATATTTCTACATTTGTTTAGATATTTTTTAACGTCTCAGCAATGCTTTGTAATTTATAAGTCTGGGTCTTTGCTCATATTTTAAGTTTATTCCTTAAATAGTTTTGACACTATTATAGATTTTTCTTCCTTTCGATTTCTAATCCTCTGTTACCAGTATATGGAAATATGATTGAATTTTTATATTGACATCTTATTTTATGACCTTAGTAAACTCATTTATTAGTTCCTTTCCCTTCTTTGTACTTTCTTTTTTTTTAACTTAGATTCTTTATAATCTTGTACAAATACAACCACAGTGTCTAACTCTTCTTTTCAAGTTTGTATGCCTTTTATTTATTTTTCTTGCCTTATTGCACTGACTAAATCTTCTGATACAATGATGAATACAAGTGGTAAGAGTGGTCTTATCTTGTTCTCAACCTTAAGGGAACTCATAAGTAGGCTGTTAAGTGTAAAATGGTCATAAATGCCCCTTTTTTCAGGTTGAGGAAGTTCCTTTCTGTTCCTAGTTTACTGAAAGTTTTTATTCCGAATGAATATTGAATTTTGTCAAATTCTCTTACTGCATCTATTAAAATGAACATATATATTTTTTCTTTTTAGTCTGTTAATATGGCAAATAAAGTTTATCTTTTCTAATGTTAATTCAAATTTTGATTCTTCATAAAAATCCCAATTGGTCAAGATATATTAATTTATCATTTATTTCTGAATCCAATTTTCTAGAAATTAAAAAAAATATTTTTATCACTATATTTGTTAGAATGTCAATCAGTATTTTCATCTGGTTCTGACACCAAGGCTGTGCTGGCTTCATAGATGGGCCAGCAAGTGTTCCTCACTCCTCTATTTTCTAGAAGTGTTTGTGTTGGGTTGCTTTTTTGTTTCTTGAAATGTTGGGTAGACCTGGGTTTAGTTTGTGAAAAGAATTTTAACCACAAATTTAATTTTTTCAATAGATATAGAGCTATATCATTCATCCATTTCTTTTTGAATAGATTTTGGTAGTGTGTCTTTCAGGAATTTATATTTCATCCAAGTTGTCAAATTTATTGACATCGAATTATTCATGATATTTTCTTATTAAGCTTTTAGAACATGTATAAACTGTAGCAGTATTCTTTCTTTTATTTGATATTGAAATTTTTTTGTCTTTTTAAATTATCACTTGTTTATCCATTTCATTGATCTTTTAAAAAAATCCATTTTTTTGTTTTGTTTTATTTTTCCCTATAGTTCTATATTTACTTTCTTCTGCTCACTTTGGGTTTCATTTGCCATTCTTTTTCTAATTTCTTTATATATAAGCTTAAGTAATTGATTTCATATATACTTTTCTAATAGAAAGTTTTAATATGATAAATTTTCTCTCTAAACATTTTTTAGCTACTTCCATGGATTTTGATATACTGTCTTTCAATTTTCATTCAGTTAAGTAATAGCTTCCTAATTTTATTTTTGAATTAAGAAAATTTCTAATTTTTGGAAATGTTTCAGAAATCTGTTTTTATTGATTTCTAGTTTACTTTCTATGTGGTCAGATGATGTGTTTTATATTTGAATCTTTTAAACTTTATCAAGTTTTGTTTTATGGTCCAGAATGTGGTCTATTTTGGTGGGTGTTTCATGTGCAGTTGAAAACAATGTGTTTTCTGCTGTTGCTGGATAGAGTGTTCTATATACATCAGTTATAAATATGATTTTTAAGTCTTGTTCCAATATTTTGTAACCTTATTAGTTTTTTTAATTGTTCTATCAATCACTGAATAAATTAGATAATGTGGGAAAAAAGATTAGAGACTTTGAAGACATAGCAACAGCAACAATTAAAAATAAATGCACAGAGAAAAAAGACCAAAAAAAGTGTGTGGGGAGAATGTAGGGAGTGATGAAAAAACATTTGAAAGAATAATGCCTGAAAATTTTTCCAAATGATGAAATCTAAAAACATACAGATCCAAGAATTTCAGTGGATCCTAGGCAGAAAAAAAAACCATAAGAAAAATCACAAAAAGATATGTCATAATAAAATTTTATGAAAACACGTGATGAAGAGCAATTTTAAAAGGATCCAGAGATAAAACACACATATTACACAGAGAAACAAGACAAAAATGGCAGCATATTTGCCATCAGAAACCATGAAGTCCATTAGACAACGGAATGGCATCCTTGATGTGTTGATAATAAAATTTATTAAACCAGAATTTCATATCCAGCAAAACTACCTTTAAAAATGAAAACCAAATAAAGACTTTAGGACCAAAAAAAAAAAAAAAAAAGCTAAAAAACTCATCGCTGAAGACACACACTAAAAATGTGTTAAAAGAACTTTTATCTAAGCATAAAGGAAATTATGCTAGATGGATATGTAGACCTAGAAAAAAGAATAATTAGTGCTCCAAATGGTAAACATATGTATAAATATAAAAGGATACTTTTCCCTTATTTTACAATTTCTTTAAAAGATAATTGATTGTTAAAAGAAAAATCAATAACTGTATTTATTGTGCGATTTATTATCTATGGAAAGGTAAAGTACATAATAACAATGCATGAAAATGGGGGATAGAAGTATATATTTGTAAGCCTGTTATATTTGAAAAGGTGTAATATAATTTGAAGATAGACTCTGGTAGATTAAAGGTGTGTATTGTAAATTGATCCTGAGCAATTTTTAGTTTAGATATTTTACTTTTTTTTTTTTGTATTTTTAAATATATATCTTTTATTTTTCTCCTACTCATGTTCATGCTTCCTTTGCTGTCCCTGAAATATTTTACAGTTTATGAACAGACGAGTACTGAGACAAAGATGCAGGTTTGCCCTTGGCGGGTCTCTGCAGCCTTCCCTCTGTGAAGCTTTGTGCCCCCTGGTACTGTCTCACAGTTCTAGCTTCTTTGCCTTCCTTGACTTCATCTACATCTCCTCCACCTGGCCACACCACTGTCTCTGTTGAGTTGCTCCTCCCTGCGCTTTACCTTGTCCTGCCTCCAGTCCTTAGGGTAAAGTGGTCGTAAGGTTCACCTTGTTTTCCTTCTCTCTGGGATCATAGTTCAGTGCTGATTGTTGTCCAGGGTCTGGAAAACCATCATTTAATATGTTCTGTCCATTAGTATATTCGTTTCTGACAGGAAAGCCACTCAAGTAGCATTTAGCAATTGGTCTCCGCCAGAGATTCTCGTGTCTCCCTCCCATGCTGGGGTGTGTTAGTTGCCGCTTCTTTTGCTCTCGAAGTCCTGTGTTTACATTTGACTATTGCGCTCTGTAGTCTAAAGTACAATCCACGGGCCCATCTCTCCTTCTTGTCTTCAAATACATTGAAAGCAGTGGCTGCCTTACTCACCTTTATGTTTTAACGCTTAGCATAATACAGTCACAGAAAGGCGTCTCGAAAATATTTGTTCAAACTTTCTAGCCTTGTGACCCATTTTCTTGGGTACTTTGAATATATCAGGTAGAAAAAGTCACATGCATGTCAGGGATGGCAGAAGGGGACACATGTCTTGCCACGTCCCCTATCAGAGATCGTCTAGCATCATCGATCACCAGGGGTCTACTTTTCACCTGAGGCCCAATGTGGCTTTGAACTCCTTCCTAATATGATTTCAGATATCTCCTACCAAGTAATACACATTCATTCTCACGCTGCAACTTATTTGCCATCCATGAATTAATATTTTCGTTTCTTAGAAATACCATTTTATTGTATTTATTTAGTAAATATTTATGTGGCACTTATGTACTAGCATCATTCTAGGTACTTTAAAATATTAACTACTTGTATAACATTGGAACATGTATTATCTCCATCTTACAGATGAGGAAACTGAGGCACGGAAAGGTTCAGTAACTAACATAAAGTTGTACATGTTTATCAAGGAGTGTGTGTGGATGCTGCTTTAGAGAATCTGGCTCAGTGTCCATGCCCTTCACTGTTACACCACACTGCCCCTTCCATGGCCCAAACTAAATTTTTTTTAAATTTTTTTTTTTTACGAAGAAGCTAAGAAAGTAGTTAACATCTCTTTTCTGACAAGCAGCAGTAAGGGACAGGCTAAAACAGACTGGGCGTGGAGTTAAAAGTACCCTGGGCTTCTCAGATCACAAGAGAACAATACCAATATTCCTCTTGACTTATTCATTTAACAAATATCTATTATACTCTTTCTCCATTCTAGGCACTGCTGGGAAGAAAAGGAAGCAAACATTCAGCCAATTGAAACACGGAACGGTTACAGACTGACAGATGTCACCTCAGACACGCGAACCATCAAGTTTCTGAGAGCTCAACTTAATTCCAGAACCTGCCAGCTAGGACAACAGGTACATATATTTTCTGCCCTGGATAGAATTCTTTTGGAAACTTGAATTGCAAAAGTGTTAGGACGACAGCTGGGAGGGAGTGGGGAAAGCAGGAGGTAGCATCTACCATCATTTTCTAATATCCGTTGATTGTCATGGGTGCACCACTGTTTAAGGTGCTTTCCCACGCTCGTACAGCTGTGTTCTGGGGCACACAAATTGTGTGATGATCCCCCACAGACCAGAGAAACAGCAAGAGACCAAGCAGGAAAAGAGTCAAATGTCTTATGTAGCATTTTTGTCAGACAGAAAAAGGAGGTAATATGAGCATGACTCACAAAAGCATGCAAATGTTTCTTTTTCTTTTTTTTTCTTTTCCTTTTTTTTTTTTTTTTTTGTTGTTTGTTTGCTTTAAATAGTTAGCTGTCCCCGAGGAATGAAACACAATGATTCTGGAGGAATTCTGTTCTTCCATTCAGGATGGTATCTTAGATTTTATTGTGGGAGACTGGAACTTTGGACGAAAAAAAGTGAGGAATTTCACTAATATTTTCAGAATTGGCTAGTCAGCTGGACCTCTGCCCACAAGCCACCCCTGAGTGCCCCACAGAATTCAACAGAAACATTGAATGTAAATTCAGACCATAGGCTTAATTATTAACACGGTAATTATCAGGGTTGATTGGGTATGTGCGGTATATTGTTTGTCATTGCTCAAGGTCATTCATCCTGTGCTGTCTTTGGTGGGGAGAAAAAAATCCTGCATCATTTGGATACTTCGGAAAAAATCTCATTTCACAGGGATTCCACCTTTCACTTCAAAGCCTATTAGATACTATGTTTCTCAGCAGCCCCGGAGCAAAATATTGTCAGAACATAGGATTTTAATGGGTTGCTGTACTTCTTGTTTTCCTGCTTTACAGACAGGTGCCTGTGAGTGCACATGTTTTCTGGGGCCCAGGAGGCTTGGTGGGGTGGGGTTTCCAGTGAAAGAACGCTGGCACCCGCCTCTTTCTTCCCTCTGGGAGTGGGCTATGGAATGCAAGGGAAGTCGAGGAGATGTCCATCAACTCCATTAAGTATTAATTATTGCCTTGAGTCTAGAGTAGAACTCACGTTTCTGGGTCTGAAAAATTGGTTAGATTTTGGGGATGCCACCCCTTCCCAAGCTCCGTCTTTTCAGATAACTAGTGAGAAGTTACGGGTGAATATACAGTCACGTACATGTACAGATAGGGTTATTGGAGTCTAAGTAAAACAAAATTACTAAATTTATTATTATTATTATTTTTTAGGGCAAAACATACATATGCTAAAACCAAATAAAACAAAAACAAGAACAAAATGAAATGGAAATTAGGTCCTCCCCGGAAATTAACACCTAATATCAGTTTTTTTTTACCTCAGAGAACACCCTCATCATCAATTATGGGTTTTGTATAATAGGTAATTTTTGCACACCCTAGCATATATAAAATTTAACTTTTTTCTATTACCATGTTTTCCATTTCCTAAAGATAGATGTAGACTGTGTTGGGGGAGGTGGAGGTAGAAGCGGGAGAAAATTTACTTATTTGAATTTCATAATTTTATGTCAGAGGGTAGAATGGGGAGGGGAGCTTCGTCATAATTATTTTGTGGCTACTATGCAATAGGCATCATGCAAAGAATTTTATACACACGGGACCAGCTACATAACTGACGGGGCTGAGCCTAAAATAAAAAATGCAGGGCCCTTAGTTCAAAAATGAAGAATTTCGAGACAGTACAAGAGCATTACACCAAGCAAGGGGTTTGCCAACATGTGGTGCTGTGTGACCGTATAGGTCGGTCGGCTAACGAAGCCCGCCCTGTGTATACATTTTCAAATTTATCCATAAAACGACCCCAGGATGGAAATGTCATTGCCTTCATTTCGCAGATGGAAAGCTGAGATTTAGAAGTTTCCATCCTCAGTGTCCCTTCCAGTGTGTTTACCTGTAAGATATCATGGTTTAAAAATAGCTTCCATACTAAAACAATATGAGTTCCCAAAAGAAGGAAAATATTGACCCTGATATTGGTCATCTGGACAATGTGAATTTTATATGTTAGAGCTGCTCCAACTTCCAGCTACCAGATGTCTGTAAAAATTCATAGCAGGCTATTAAATTTAGCAGATCCTGTCTTAATTAGATTAGCTTTCGCACAGCACGAAGGCAGAGTGTCTCTCTGATGGAAGGTTTATAAAGATTTCTGGTGGGAATTCTTTATGGAAGACGGAGTCTTTTATCCACAGAGACTGACAAATAGAAGGAAAAAACCCATCTCATAATAGTATAAAAATATGGTCATGGTGTGTCAAAGCAGAAACATGAATCTTTATTTCATTGATGTTTCCTTTTTATTTGGCTTAAGAACAGGGACGGTTGGGGATGAAGATGGGGGAGGGGCGTTCAAAACGACCAGCTAAGAGAATAGCATAAGGGAGGTGAAAACCTACAAGCAAATTCTGGTCGTCAAATCCTCCCATAAATTCAGCACCTAAGGAGCGCCGAGCGCTCAGACGCCTGTCAGTACGTGAGTTATTTTTTTTCCAGACAGAAAACAAAACTGCACAGTTTGTCTTGAGCTGGTCTTGCATGATTAAACTCAGCATCCATTCTCTCTCTCTCTCCATTTAAGGTCACTCAGAAAAGCTCACATGACACGAAACCCAAAGCCCAAGCCCCCTCTCTGTTTGACCCTCTCTGTCCTGCCACGGGCAGAGGCCCTCACCTGCGGTGGCGTGTGCAAACATTCCTTGTTTATCGATGCGGGTACACAAATGATACCAGTTTGGAGAGCTGTGACACTCTCCTCGGTGCCTGGTGTGTAGGTCACTCCGGAAGGAAGGCGGGTGCGAGTCATTTTTCTTGTCATATGATTCACCAGCTAAAAGGTCACGTTCATGCAAAGACCTTCCTCCCTTGGCTGTGGAGTCCGAGGAGAGAGACTGAGTGGACAGAGAAGATGTTAAAAATTTGTTTCTACCTCACAGCCTCCCTGATCTCGGGCCGGAAGGAGATCTGCAGTTTCAGTAGCCAAAGCCCACGCAGGCAGGGCAGGAGCACAGTGGCTGATGGAAAGGAGGCCATCACCTGCTACAGCAGCCTGATCAGATTGACATCAGACGCAGGCTGGGTTACTAGGCAACTGATTAAATAAACGTGCTGGTCCTACAAGCAAGCTCGCCATTAATTAACTTAACCATTTTCATTTTGACTGTTTTCTTCCCTTCTCCACCTCAACGAGCTTTGAGACACTGAAATATGAGGGGATTGGGAAGGAGGCGGCGGACCCCCGTTTCTCCTTCTGTGGGAAATAGCCGATGCGTGTGAGCGCTTCCCACGCATGGAATGAAAGAACCTGATCGGCAGGTAATTAGCATTTTAAGCAAACGAGAAAACATACACGAAAAGGCCTAAAAGAGCGCCGGTGTACATTGATTCAAAGCCGGTTATTTTTCCTAATCATGCTCGTCACTGAGAGGAACAAGATGGAGAATGCGGACTAGGAGACGTGGTTTTAGGAGACAGGCCGTTTCCATGCCGGGAAGAGAATCCCACTCGCGCTGGGGTGTCACGGGGGCCGAGAGGCGGTGGGGTGCGGCGGATCCTTTAACCCGCCGGGAGGGTCAGCTGAGCCCCTGGAGGCGGGAAGGCCTGTATCTTGAAAGAGGAGCCAAGGTCACGAGAATAACCAGCGTGAGGCAGGCATTCCAGGGAGAGGGTCCAGTGAGCCAAGTCCCAGTTATAATGGTAAAATTATGAGCGAGTTGGTTTTGATAAAGTAGAAAATACAAGGTGCGGGCAGAGTGGGGCGGGAAGAATTGGCAGGGCCAGATGAGAAAGGCCCGTTTCTGTCCTTCGGGGAGTTCATACTTTGTCCTGCGCGCCCCTGAAGGGTTTTCCAGGGAAAGTGGCAGAGGCAGACTTTCACCGTGGATAGCTTACCCTTAGTCACATAGCATTAGGACTTAAGAGGGCACTAGGAGGGCGACAGCACTGAAGAGGCTCTTGGAATAGCTCAGAAGTGAGGTGAGGACATGAAGTAGGGCTGGGAGCAGAAAAGGAAGTGTAAGAGCTATTTGGCACTTGGAGCTTGATTGGGGACAGGGTGGGAGGGAGGAGGAGGGGGTCTAGGTGACAGCCAGGCTCCTGATTTGAGAGACTGAGTGGGTGGCGGAGGCATTAACCCAGAGCAAGAGTACAGGAGGAGGGCGGAGATAAGTGAATCTGTCTTGTACTTGTTGAATTTGGGGTTCCGGTGCCCAGCAGGTGATTGGTTAAATAAAGCAATTACTTCTTAATAGGCCTTAGAAGACAGGAATGAGGGGAGATTCCTTGTGGAACCTACAAGTCCAGAAAAGACTCCTGTATAGAATTGTATTTCCATAGTAATATTTAAAGCAGGATAGAGAATGTGTAAATAACAGAGAGGACTGGGGCGGGGGCGGTGCAAATTCACATCCATAGCCTTTTCCTCTTAAACATATTTTAGTAACCACTAAAGAAAATAGAGACCTAATAGCAGCGATAAAGTTATTCATCATAACTACCTGATTCACTCTAATCTCTCCTTCTAATTATGGAATGGAGTTGTCATATTCAAATGTGAAACAGGCTGGAATTACCCATGGCAAATTGACGAGCCTCTGGCAGATGAATCATCCTGGAAGATCTGACATCCCCTGGGCACCTGATCAAACACAGCCGCCAGCCTCTCGGGCGAGGGCGAGATCACCTCTGAAGACAAGAACTGGCTCATGGCACTTGGGACTGAATGAGAAGCTCCCGGCTGCCGTGCACACGTACTGAATGGAAACAAGTTATTTCTCCAGGACCTGGGAAGGAAAACTGTTTCCTTTTCTCACAATCAAAAGATTTATAGTCATGTTTTCACATTTGCCTTAAACCGACAGTATCTCTGTGTGGCCACTATTGCCAGTATTTTCCAGTGAAATGTAAGTGACCATTCCGGACACAGAGGTGTGGGCTCAGTGAAGCTGGGGGAATGCCACGGCATGCAACACCAGCGGGTTCTAAGGAAGATGCTTCCTACCACTTAGAAGTGACCTAGGACACGTGCCCATCTTAGCCTGCGTTTCATACTCATTCCCCAATTTAAAAAAAAAAAACAACTTTATATCTGCATTTTATGTAAGACATCTATTTCTTTTAATTTACAGACTACTTCGTAAGCTATTCTGATTTTTACGTGGAGGTGGATATGGATGGTCTGGTGAAACAGTTCACTGAGAAACTCGAACATGCATTTCCTATCCTTTGCTGAGATCGCTGCTTGTGACCTTGCTTCTTGGACTCTGTCTTTTTCCCAAAAGAATTGTTATTCTTCCCTGATTGCTTCTCTTCAGGCACAAATGCTTGTTGACATGGTTCCGAGGGAATCCTTATTTCCAAACGACACTGTCCACTGAAATCGTAGGCAGTTCGTTCAGTCCTTTGATGCTCCAGACATCGCCGCCCTGACCATCTGGGTCACAGTCCTTTACTTCCCCTAGGCTAGTTGGCCCAGCCTTGGGCTATTTGAAGACTTTTGTCCCTCATCTTGGTAGAGATCAGGATTAAGGGATGAATCAGTTTTGCAGTTTCCATGAGCATGATGAAGCTGTGAGGGAAGCCAAATATCACTGGAAATGTAACAAGCTGAAGAAATTTTTGTTACTCGTTTTTAAACTTTATGTTAAAAGCGTCATATTTGTTTAATTTAACACAATTTTGTTTTTTTCCTTCCACGGCATTTAGTTTATGAGGTTTTATCTGCATTATTATTTGTTGTTCTAGTTCATTGATTTTAGTGATTGTATAGTAGACCAATAAATAAATAAGTTTATCACAATTTATTTGTCTTATTGATGAGCATTTGGGCTAGTATGAATAAAAATGCTATAAATGTTTAAAGACACATTACTTTACATTTCCCCACAAACTCTCCTTTTCTCTATTGCAAAATATTTGGGATCCCAAAGCCCTTAACCTCTTAGATATCATAAGTATTTTTGAGATGAGATAAATTAAGCAACACGACAACATTTTCTCTCAGAATAAAAAGTCTAAGTCACATTATAGAAAACAAAAACAAAAATGAAAGCATGAGTTCTTGAAAGGACCTGTACGAATATTATTTTGATAATCACCATCACCATTTTTAGCTAACTCTGCCATGTTTCTACATACTCGCTTATGCGTGCGTATTTGTGATCGGAGCCAAATGTTTTTAAAGCCATTTTCTTCCTATTTCCCTTCCCATTTCTCACTGATTTTAGTCCTGCCAACAAAAATACAGTAGAACCTTTCTTATTTTCTTGCATTTTCTCCTCTTTCTTGCTACTTTCACGACTCTTCTTTCTCAACTGTGATTAGGCAAGGGTTCTTGGCTGTGAGACAGGTAACGGAGTTCAGGTCTAGTGGGAGAATGGAGAACGAGATGAAAGAGGGAAAAAGGACGAAAACAACGGGAACTGCACACTGAAGGAAAAAGAAGACAAATTAGAGGACGTAAAAGTTTCTTACCTATCGAGGGCGGTAGGCATTGGGAAAACGTTATTCACGGAGTATGCATGAGTAAAAAGAAGCAGAAGACTAACTCCAAGGTCATTTAAGGTTAAAAATAAAGCGACACGAAAACCTATTGTGCAAGCATAGGCACACTTATAAAATATAATTCGGTTAGGAGCTATGACCATTAAGTTAGAAAGAGAAAATGAAAGGTCTTCGTGTTTATAGTTTATTTGTCTCCCAGTTCCCCTCCCCTGTCCATCATGTGGCTGGAATGCTTCTGGCCACAGCTGTCTGTACAGAACTCAACATATCATTAAATAAACCCGGGCAATTAACCGATGATGAAAGTATGGCTTGATACTCACAGGCTCACGCGTCAAAAGCTTGACGTTTGTTTGTGTGGGTTCAAAAGATAGAAGACAAACGCACTGGCCCTCCCAGTCCAAGCTTTTCTTTAAATCCCCCCCTTTCTTGTTATCTCTGTAGCATTTGACAAACTTGATCACATTCACTCCTTCTTAAAAATTTCTTCTGCCTCGATTTCCAAATCATTTCTTTTCCTTCTGTGGTAGGCTGAAAAATGGCCCTTAAAAGTTAGCCATTTCCTAATTCCTGGAACCTATGACGGTTACCTTCTATGACTATATAAATAAATAAATACATATATATACATATATTTACTATATATTTATATATATTTTACATATATTTACATGTAGTGAAAACAATATATGTATATATGATATATATATAAAGCAAAAACAATAAGAGGATTTTTTGCAGATGAGGTTAAGTTAAGGATCTGGAGATGGATAGATGGGCCCAGGTGGGCCCTAAAATACATTCACATGTTCCTTATAAGAGAGGCAGAGGGCGATCTGACACGGAAGAGGAGAAGGTGCTGTGAAGACAGAGCAGGAGGAGAGCAGAGTGATGCTCCTGCCAGGGAAGATGTGCAGGTAGCCACGCTGATGGAGGACCGAGAGACCCCGGAGGGAAGGCGGCCCCGCCCACACCTTGACTTCCGTCCAGCGCTGCTGATCTTGGGCTCCCGGACTTCAGAACTGTGAGAGAATGCATTTCTGTGGTTTTCAGCCATTTAGATTGTGGTAATTTGTTGTAGCAGCCACAGAAATCTAATATACTCTCTCTGACAGCGCCCTTCTCTGCCTCCTCTCCCCATCGCCCCTTTTTCTTTAGGAT